CTCCAGAGGTGACGGTGAGTTCGCGAACGTTGGGCGGGCGAGAGGTGTGCTTTCAGATCGGCGCTTGGGAGACGGTGCTGAGTGTGAAGAGGCGTGTGGCCAGTGAGCTGCGGGTGCCAGATTTCACCATACAGTTGGTGCAGCAGGGCGTGACTTTAAAGAGCGAGACCATGCTGAAGGAGCTCTTAAGAGACGACGTCACGGACCCTTCCCTCGACTTAGTCATCGTCCGAATTCCAGGGCAGTTGCTCGACTACCGCCAACTCCTGCGCAAGCTCGTCCAAGCCGCAAAGGACAGTCGCTTCGAAGAGGCGCGACAGCTGCTAGACGAGGGCGCCGGTTTCGATGCCGAGGGAAACCTGCTGCTGGACTTCGGGAGCAATGTGCTGCATGTTGCTGTGCGAGGTAGGCTCAACGATCTCGCACTGCATTTGATCAGCCAGGGTGTGGACCTGGAAAGTTGCAACGAGATGGGCCGAACGCCCCTCGTACAGGCCTGCATCAAGAACACGCCGGAAGTCATCACAGCGTTGTTGGCCGCGCGGGCTGACGTCAACATCAAGGATTCTTCCGGGCGATCGGCCGTTTACTATGCTGCCATGAAGGAGAACGCGGCTGTGGTGCAGCAACTTATTGAGGCCGGTGCAGACCCGGAAGAACTGGAGAATGTGGACCTGGAAAGTTGCAACGAGATGGGCCGAACGCCCCTCGTACAGGCCTGCATCAAGAATGCGCCGGAAGTCATCACAGCGTTGTTGGCCGCGCGGGCTGACGTCAACATCAAGGATTCTTCCGGGCGATCGGCCGTTTACTATGCTGCCATGAAGGAGAACGCGGCTGCGGTGCAGCAACTTATTGAGGCCGGTGCAGACCCCAAAGAACTGGAGATGCTTGGCTGCTCGGGTCTGAGGCCGTTGCAGACCCCGAAGAACTGGAGATGCTTGGCTGCTCGGTTCTCTGCTCTGACTCTAATCAGTGTGCACAGACAGTTTTATGCAGGATGACTTTGAGATCTCCAGGAACCACATTGTCCTCTTGTCTTTCGCATGGAGCTGCAGCAGGGCAAAAGCTTGAAGATCGGGGAGATCTGCACAGTTAGACACACACACACATATGTGTGAACACATATATATATATATGTACAAATAAACAAATAAATACACATGCATGAACCAAAACTCTCTAGAGCTGTCCTTCGTACCGGTTCGCGCCGGCGAATGTTGACTCCGGCAGTAGCCCGAAGTCATCGGCCGGCGACTTTGAAAACAAGGGAGCTTTAGTAAAGGGACCCGAACATGATCCGTCATGTGAGGACTGCAATGCACGAAAGCCCTCCAAAAAAGGCGACTAGAGATGGTCAAGTCTAGCCAATCCTGCTATGAAAGTTCTACAAGCCCGGGCCAGGGACACCAACAACAATCCTCCTTACCTGCAGAGTCTGCAGAGCTTAGGAAGCTATCTCACCTGCTGGGCTCCATGGAAGATGTGAAGCCCTCGCACTGGCGAAGATGTGCGCAGTCGTGAGCGCTGGCGCGGAAATGCAAGAGCACACTCCGTGCCTAAGGCACTACCGCTCAGGCGCTGGGGATGAGGTCTTACGACTTTGGGCTAGTGACAGCCGGCTAGTGTGGTTGTTCATACGTAGCCGGATTTGGCAAGGGAGACTTCTTGGCGCGCGAGCCTTTAACTCTGCAGAGGCCGTGCAGCAGGATGCAGCAGGTTATCCTTGCTGCGCCAGTGTACAGGTCTGGCTTTCCGCAAACACGGCAAGTCTACTGCAGTGATGATGAGTTGGCACACACGGCATGAAAAAGCAGCAGGGCTCAAACTCGTGCTCTGCCAGATAAATCATGGTGCCCGGCATGGTATGCAAGCGGCCAGTACAAACCTGTGAGTGTCGAGGTCCTGCATCTGCCGCTGTGGTTCCTGATGCCGCTTTACATTTACAGGAGGAAGCCAGCCGCGCGGAAGAAGCGGAAAGCAGCGTTGCCCAGAGAGCCTAGTCAGTGTTGGCAAGGTTGATTGAGTTGTAGCAGTTAGAAGGGTCTTTGGTCTGATCTAAACGGTACAGTATACAGATTACCTGAGGGCTCTTGCATTCTCTGGGTGCTGTAATTGGAAGCTGATTGACGTTCTGTCGCATCCGTGGCTGATGCTTTTGGCGCCGCTTTGGCTTATCAGGCTCAGCATGTGTTCCAGTCGGATCCCGGCAGCTTGCAGTGAGCATCAGCAAACCGTAACCAGTCCGTACGCACTCTCCAGCAGATTCTAGCGGGGAGATTGGCTGATATGGGCGAGAGCATGTAACATCATGCAACCCTGGAGAGTGATGGGCAGACAGTCCGAGCGCATGGCAGAAGACCGCCGAAGACATTTCTCGAGAGGTCGGTCCTGCAGCCACTTGAGTAAAGCTTCCTAAGCCATGACCAGGCCGAGTACTCAAGTTCACAGTCCCCGCAGCGGCAGTGGCGCTCTTCCCGCAGGGCCTACGGCGGCTCATCAGCAAAAGATGACGCAGGTTGAATTCGGAACGGTTGCCTGCGCTGCCGGAATGCTCTGCTCCTGTGCCTGCCGCCCCTCCGTTTCGCATCCGTGCATTTGTGTTGATAGGGTTTCGCTGGACTTGGAACAGCCTCGACCGCCGAGGTGGCAGCTTGGATTTGCTGGTGCTCAGGCGCCCTTTAGACTCAACTTTAGACAGCAAGTGGCGGGGAAACAAGTTGAAGAAGACACAACCTCGATACAACAAAGGTTCTAATAATACGCCGTGGAAAGAATAGTGTCCCAGAGGGCTCTTATAGGTCCATGACAGACCTTGGATACGAGCTGGGCGATCTGGAAGGAAGCTCTGGATAGGCATCAACAGGGCACATGGTAGGGCAGTGGATGTTGTCAGACGGCCAGCTTTGTCAGCTTGTTCCGAGCTTCTCAAGGAAATGCGCATCCCCGACGCTGTACGCACGTGTCTTGTGAGGGCCTTTGGCCTTTCAGGCTAGTCCAAAAGGTAAACTGTGATTCCCTCAGAACCTTTCCCAGCTCCTAGCAGAGACTTGCTTCATCCCTGATTGAATGTGTAGAAAGGTTTAGTAACCCTAAACTTCTGCCATTCTGCATGGTGACCGCCATGCCGAAGCACTTCGGGCACCACCTGCGCGAGATGCGGAACAGCCACAGGCAGAGCCCGGGGAGTTCCATCTATCCCGAGAGCATCCAAGAGATCCGGAGGTCTCTGTACTGGATCTTGGAAGAGCCGGATGCTAGTTCGGATGTCCCACGGGTCCTGACCATCGGGGTGGCTTGCCTGAATGTGCTGCTGATCTTGCTCTCCCTTGTGAGCCTCGTTCTGGAGACCACGCCGGTGTTCCGGGAGACGACCTCCGAGGACATGTGGCAGAACATCGAGATCGTCACCACCGGTTGCTTCACGTTGGGATATGTCCTGCGATTGTGGGTCTGCGACGTCTTCGGAGCCTCTGCCGTGGAGTGGTTCTTCAAGCCTTTGAACCTCTGTGATCTCCTGGCCATTCTGCCCGTCTACGCGCAAACCGTCGTGAGGCAGTGGGACCTGGAATTCCTCCGTGTCCTCAGGGTGGTGCGCCTCTTCAAGATCGGCCATTATTCCGAAGGGGTCCGCATGATGAACGCGGCGCTCTTCAACAGCCTGTCGGCCTTGTATGTCTTGATCTTCCTCTTTGTCATTGGCCTGGTGACCTTCGCCTCGGCAATCTACTTCACCGAGAAGCTCGCATGCCCCGACTTCGCGCTGGCCAACCTCACAGAGTTTGTGGAGTACAACGCAGAGTGTGAGAACTCTCGTATCGGAGCCGTCAGCTACGGCTCCTGCTGCGCGTACATGTGCGCGAACATGCCTGCGGGCTCCTACCCGCTGTGCCACAGCACCTTCGAGGCACAAGCGGCGGACGCAGGGTCCTCCGAGTGGAAGGTGGAGGCCATGCACGATCTGGACATTGACTCCGTCCTTACTGGCATGTGGTGGGCAGCAGTGACCATGACCACCGTCGGCTATGGTGACATCTATGTGAAGCACTGGACATCGAAACTGGTGGCCAGCGTCACGATGGTCACCGGCATGCTGATCATCGCCATGCCCTTTGCCATCGTCGGCACCAAGTTTAGTGAGGCTGCCGGGAACTGTGCCGTCGCCGAGCTGGAGATCGACGAGGTTCAAGGCGAAATCTCCACGCGAGGGAGCTCCGGCAGCACCGGGACAATCGAGAGCCCCAAAACCCAAGCGAAGCAGCTGGTGAAGCAGGGCAGCACGAAGTCGCTGGCCGAGATGGAGATCCTGCTGGAGACACTCCGCAGCGAAGTGGAAGAAGCCACAGCTTTGAAGAGGGAGATCTTACAGCTGCAGGTCCTGCGCGACAACCTTTGGACTTCCTTGGAGCACGCGATGGCCCGCATGGCCTTTGAGGGCATCATCAGTCTCAATGCCTTGATGGTGGATGGCCCCTGGTTCCACGCGGTCTCCGCCCAGCGGCGGGCAAAGACCACGGTGATTAGCCCCTTTTGCGCGAAGTCCTTGGGCTTCATCCACAGGGACTGGCTTATTCGCCGTGCTGCCATCGAGATCACTACTTCGTGGATCTTCGAATCGCTCATCCTCTTCCTGATTGTCGCCAACAGCTTTGTCCTGGCGGTGCAAAATTATTACTACGACCAGGAGAACTACTGGGGCAACGTCCTCGAACGAGAGACGGAGCTTGTCTTCACAATTTTCTTCACTGTCGAATGTGCCATGAAGATCGTGGCCTGCGGCTTTGTTGCGCATCCCCGCGCCTATCTGCGAGATCCCTGGAATTGGGTCGACTTCACCGTGGTGGTGGTGGGCCTCTTGGGGGCTATGCAGGTGGAGGCCTTTGAGTTCCTGAAGCCGGCTCGCGTCCTGCGCCCGCTCCGCTCCCTCTCCGCAGTGCCTGGAATCCGGCACCTCTTCCGCACCATCATCCTCTCCCTCCCCGGGCTCAAGGACGTGGTGCTTCTGGCCGTGTTCCTGCTGGTGATGTTTGGCGTCCTTGGGCTTCACTTCTGGAGCGGCTTGCTGCATCGGAGCTGCCGTTTGACAGCACAGCCACTCCACTTCACTGCAGCCGCGGCTTCGGGGTCACCCTGTGCGGGCTGGTGCTTTGACAATACCTCCGTCGTCAGCGTCTCGGGCACATTGGTCAACTCTTCCCTGGTCTTTGACACCTACTGCCGCCCGGATGCGAAGTGCCTGGATGCTTGGAGGTCCGGAAACGAATACTATCTTTGGCCTTTGGATACCCAGCAGGAGAGGTTCTGTGGGGAGCACTCCTGCGAGCGCTATGCCGTAGGCTCCGAGTCTCCAGACGAGGTCTTGCGGCTGCTGGGCTCCGTTCAAGGCAGCGAGGTGGTGACCTTCTGCGGCTCCCCCTTGGCCAGTGATCCGGAGTTCGGCCCGGAGGTGGTGAACCAGGAGCTTGCTGGCATCAACCTGAACAACTGGGATCTAGAGGTCACGGGTGAAGGGAGGAACTGGGGCCTCACTCACTTCGACAACGTCGCCGCGGCTTTTCTGGTGGTCTTCCAGTCTGTCACGCTGGAGGGCTGGTCCGACATCATGGGCATGGTCCAGGACGCCCAGAGCACGGTGGTGGGCTTCATCTACTTCCTTCTGCTGATTGTCCTGGGTGCCTTCTTCCTGGTCAATGTGATATTGGCAATCATCTGGGACGTGTTTCTGAACGTGCGGGAGAGGCAGCTGCAGGAGAAAGAGGAAGAGGAGGCCGAGGCAGAGAAAGCCATCTCCGAGGACCTGCAGCTCACCGCCCTCGCAGACCCGAGCCGCGGCGTGACCTCTGTCGAGCGGCATGGGTGCAAGGACTTCTTGAGGCACTTGATTGTCACAAGGGGCATCATCGATCCTGAGGAAGTGTTGCGGGAGGAGAGCACCTGGAAGTTCGTGAAGTGGTCGCGGCTCGTTGCCACGAACTGGCTTTTCAATGCCGGCGTGATGGCCATGATCCTGATCAATGTGCTGGTGCTTGCCATGGACCGCTACCCGGAGCATCTGGTCGAGTCCTCCGTCGGGGATGTGTTGAACTATATCTTCAACATTGTCTTCCTCCTGGAGTGTGTCATCTTACACCTGGCGCTAGGGCCATTGGTCTACTGGCAGGACAATGCCATGGCCTTCGACGGCGTCATCGTGATCCTCTCCGTGGTGGACATCCTCAATGACTTGGCCTCGGGCGCAGAGAGCGGCGGCTCGGCAATCACCGCGCTGAGGGCGTTCCGCATGCTGCGAATTTTCAAGCTGGCCAAGAAGTTCCCCAGCATGAAGATCCTCCTGAGCGCAGGCGTGAAGACGCTGATGAGCATGGGAGACTTCGTCGCGTTGCTCTTCTTGATCCTTTGCGTCTTCGCCTTGATGGCACAAAGCTTCTTCGGGGGGACTTTCATGTTTGATCCAGAGAACGGCAGCCTGGTGCCCAAGGAGGAGTACCGAAGCCGCTGCCCGATGGGGCCTGGAGACAAGCCTGTGTGCGTTCCTCGGGCCCACTTCGACACCTTCTTGTGGAGTTTCATCACCATCTTCCAGATCCTCACAGGCGAGAACTGGAACACGGTGATGTACGACGGGATGCGCGCCACGGGCTGGATGGCACTTTGGTTCTTCCTCCTCGTGGTGATCTTCGGGAACTTTGTGATCCTAAACCTCTTCCTCGCCATCCTGATGAGCAACTTCGATGAACAGCGCTCGAAGCTTCATGAGGCCATGGCCAGCAAGCGAGAGCTCCTTCGGGCCTTGGAGACAGACTCAGAGGAGGAGGCTCCTGTGAGCCCGGAAGGCCCGCGCAGGGCCTGGGAGGCCCAGCCGGGAGAGGAGGCATCCGGCCGCCCAAGCGCCCTCGCCGTGGTGCCAGGGGCACCTGCCCCGGCTCCGGGACGCTCCCCGCGAGCCACTCCTCGCTCCAGCCGGGCACGAACGCGGATGACCGTGTCGGCTCTGACAGCGCGCTTGGACTGGCAGGACCATGAGCTGGCGTGTGCCAGACGCTGCGGCAAGCGGTCCTGCCTAGTGTTCTCCCAGGAGAGTCCAGTTCGCAAAGCTTGCCTCTCCCTCATCAAGCACCCGCATTTCGACCAGGTGATTATGGTCTTCATCATCCTGTCGTCGATCCTCATGGCTTTCGAGAACCCGCTGCTCGATCCCAGCAGCATCCAAGTTCGGGTGCTCGAAGTGCTAAGCACCATCTTCACCTGCATCTTCTCCTTCGAGCTGGTGGTCAAGATGATCGCGCTGGGCGTGGTCTGCAACCCTGAGGACCCACAGCAGCCGCGGGCCTACCTGCGCTCCTTCGAAAATGCCTTGGACTTCGTCATCGTCATCGTGTCCGTGCTGGATGCAATCCAGACCTGGTTCCTGAGGGGAAGCAACGGCGGTGTCATCGCAGTGATGAAGATCTTCCGTGTGGTCAGGATGCTGCGGCCTCTCCGCCTGATTTCCCGAAACAAGAATCTGAAGGTTGTGGTGAAGACCATCTTGGCCGCAGTGCCAGAGCTCCGGAACCTCCTCGTCTTCAGCTCCATCTTCTTCCTGATTTTCGGCCTCCTCGCCGTCGGGAACTTGAAAGGCTCCTATCACTCCTGCAAGGACAAAGAGCTGGAGGATCACGATTTCCAGAGCCTGAACATGACGCCGCTTTGTGTGGAGACGGCCCGAGGCTTCAACGGCTCCGAGGGGCTCCAAGTTCTGGCGCAGCGGCCTGCGGAGGGGTGCGCGCCGGCCTCGGAGGCCTGGCAGCGACCCTCCCGGGACACGCCCATCTGCGAGGTGCACTGTGATGGCTCCGGACATTCCTTCTGCCAGAACTCGACGCAGCCCTGGGGGTACCATGTGATGCGTTGCAGCGACTGCAGCGCGGCCTTCTGCTCCGGGTCGGACTCTGCAAACCATGCGGCCTGTATCCAGTCCTGCACACGACACGAGTACTTCTGCAAGGAGGTCGCAAGCGCGCAGCGCGAAGCCTGCTTGGAGCAGTGTGTGGCAGCTTGCACGTGCCGCCAACACTGCTGGGGCTTGATCCAGGATGCGGCCCTCTGCACAGAGCAGGGAGGCAAGTGGGTGAACATGAACCAAAACTTCGACGATTTGCTGGTGGGCACCATCTCGCTCTTCGAGATCAGCACCACCGAAGGCTGGGTGGACGTGATGCTGGCGGCCGTCGACAGTCGAGGGCCCTACCTCCAGCCGAGGCGAGATGCCAACGAGTTCATCGGATCCATGCTTTTCGTGGCATTCATGCTCATAGGCAGTTTCTTTGTGCTGAACCTCTGTGTTGGTGTGATCATTGACAACTACAACAAGCAGAAGAGCGCCAGTGATGCGGGCTACGTGCTTGTCACAGAAATGCAGGCAGCATGGATGACACAGATGAAGGCCCTCTACTTGCGGCGCAGCTTCTTCACACAGGTCAATGTGGATCGGCTGGGCCCAAGCCGGCAACACCGCTTCAGGATCATCACCTCCAGTGCCTTCGAGAACTTCATCATGGCCTGCATCCTGATGCAGCTCTGCATACTCATGATGGTGTGGCAACCGAGGGAGAGGCAGGGGTCCTGGGAGGCCTTCCTCAGCACCTGCGGCTTGCTCTTCACAGTCATCTTCCACATAGAGTGTCTCCTGAAGCTCTCCGCCTTGCACTGCAACTACTTTCGGGAGCCCTGGAACGTCTTCGACTTCTTCTGTGTCGTGATGAGCGATGTGGTCGCGATCATCGAGGCAGCACTCACCAACAGCACCGTGAACCTGAGCGCCCTGGTCAGCGCCTTGCGCGTCTTTCGGGTGGCCCGACTCTTTCGCCTGGTGCGGTTCCTCAAAGGCCTCAATAAGCTGCTACTGGCATTTGCTCTGTCGGTGCCGAAGCTGCTGAATGTGGGCCTAGTGATGGTGCTCCTCCTGTACCTCTATGCCGTGCTCGGGGTGAGCCTTTTCGCCAAGGTTGCCTACACGGGCACGGGCATCTATGGTCCTCAGACGAACTTCCGCAGCTTCTTCCAGGCAATCTCACTGCTCATCCGGTCCATGACAGGTGAAGGGTTCAACGAGATCATGCACGACCTGAGCAAGTCGCAATGGTACTACGAAAGCATCCTCGAGATCAAATGTAGTGAGCTGGATCTGGAAAGCCGCACCTTCGCGAACCTTGACCTGAACGGGGATGGCATGGTGGATGACCCGACGGAGTGTGGCTCAGCTCTAGCCTACATCTACTTCATCTCGTACACCATCTTTGTGAGCTTCGTCATCCTTAACCTTTTCATCGCAGTGATCTTCGAAGGCTTCGAAGAAAGTCGTGGCAGTGAGCTGAAGGAGGTCATCAATAAATGTTTGGAGAATTGGGAGAGGTACGACCCTTTCAACACGATGCTTGTCGCGCTGCCCAAGGCACTCGACTTCATCGATGAGACGGTAGAGGAGCTCATGAACGCTCATCAACCGTCGAAAGGCCAATGCATCCCTGAGTCACGGTGGGACTCCCGCAGCACCATCGACATGAACGCATCGGAGGCGATGTGGTCGATGTACAACTTGCAGTATGTGCGGACTCTTGGGCTGGAGATCCGCAGCGACGGCAAGGTGCGACTGGTCCAGGCGGTGCGTGCCATCCTGCGGCGGCTGCTGATCGCCGGCGGGCCTTACACTACTTTCCTCCCTCTACAGGAGCGACGGCAGCGGGTGAGGGAGCTGGAAGTGCTGGAGGCCATGGTCCGCAGCGAAACGGAAGAGGACCCTGCAGTTGCCGAGATTGTGGCACTGGAAGCGCGGCAGAAGAAGCAGATCCAAGAGGCACTCGGGGAGGGCGCCCTCCCTATGCCGAGCCTCCCGGGCCATCTCCAGCTCAGCCAGCTCCGGGCTCTTCACCCGGCGGTAAGGAGAGAGGGCGTCGTCGAGTTCTCCATGCTGGAGAAGGTGGCCGCAGCAAAGATCCAGCGCCGGAGCAAAGAGTCTTTCCAAAGGCGGCGCGACAGGGCCCGCGCCGACCACGCCGACTCCGATGCTCGCAGTTTCACACACGGACCCATCACACGGGCAGCGGGTTGAGACTTGAGCCGCAGGGAAAAAAGTGACCTCTTACGAGCTGGACAGCTTTACTACTTCATCGGTTGCAGTACGATGGCCTGTTCCATGTCTATTTTCGGTTCCTACTTTATACATATTTCTGTCCACTCGGACGACCCGGAGGCGGTGGGACATAGCCATGTCTGATAGCATGTCATGAGCACGTGCCCTCTTAGATTACTTAGCCTGTCTTTGTGCCTTGTTGGTTTTGTTGAGTGGACACGCTTCGGATACGTGGTCATGTCTCAGCTGTTGGGGTAGCAAGCTCGGACGTCGTTGAGCCATGCCGGTATACCTTGCGCGAGTGTGTGCGTCAAAACCCCCTAAAACTTCTGAACCCCCTAAGCCCAAAATCCCCCCAAGACCACTGTCCACGGGCGAGAGCCGAAACCCTAAACCCTGTAAACCTTCGGTAGGAGGCATAGAAAACCCTAAACCTTCGGGGTTTTGTCGAGTGTGAGTGCTGAAACCTTTTTTGATCAAGAAACTCAACATCCAACTAAGCATCAACTCCCAAAAAAGAAACCCCTAAACCCTAAACCCCCAAACCCTAAACACTAAAACTCTTGCTCAGGAAAAAGGTGCTCAAAAAAAAAACTCTTGCTCAAAACAAAAAGCAGTTTTCAGAGGGCCCTGCCGCGCAGGCGCCCGAGGCTTCAGCTGATCGAGGCCTCAGAGCAGCGCTGCAGGCAGCTCCCGACCTAGGCCCCTGGGCCTAAAAGCAAGCAGGCGCTAAGCCGACACCTCACACCCTATACCCCCCACCCCCCCCTACACTGTCAACCCATTTCTCAAACCGCCCTAGCACTTCAACCAATAAATCCCTCAAAACACAAAGCACCTCCCAACAATCAACACAACAATCCCGAACCAAAGCAACCTACCAGTCGCGAAGCCCCGCGAGGCGTCTGCCGACGCGACCAATACAATCATCCAGAACACAACCCAAAACC